AATGTGTATATAATAGCAATACAGTCTATGCAAATACGCACATAACAGAGTTACCCACAAGGCTAATTTATTACAGGGACGTTTACTAAAATAATTATTTTATCTTTTACTATCAGTCTCTTATTTATAGTTTTATCCTTTTTTATATAAAATATATATACATTGCTAAATCACATTACCGTAACAAAGACGTAGTATATGATCACATACTACTAAGAATCGTTCTGCAAGCATCGATGTAGTTTATAATGTGTGATTTTCAATAGCGAGATGTCCATTAGAACGCCGCGGGGTAATTATGTCAGCGCCCCTGATTCTTATTAATGGAAGTTAATGGACTTCTGTATTTCCCATAATGTCCTTGGAGGCGACTCTCCGAATGAACCTCACTGCATATTCCCGATTCTGATTTATTCAATGTTAAGTCGGCGTCGGGACTGTGCTCGTTATAGTTTGTAGTCTGAGAACGCATTGCACTCTTATGTTCAGTGTTCTTGCGCATCGAGCATGATAAGCCAGGGGTGATGGACAGACTACGGATACATAACGGTGTTAGTGAAGAAACGTTGATCATAGCGCGAAGTACGTGTTGACACGTATCTGTACTAATCAATTGCGGTGGGAGGGGAGGGGAGGAGAGGGGAGGGGACTTACAAAAAGAGGAGAAAATATATGCGATTTTCAATACTGTCGAAACGTATCAGGCTTGTTATCAACATGCATTTTTGCAACTTCTTGTGGGTGGCTGAGCGACCTGAAAGATTGATTTAGAATATACACACCCGAGAGAGGATTAATGAAATGGCGATACAATCTTAGAGCAATACTAACTTTATACTGCGCCTTGATTTGTATCTATTCGTAGGGCGGTGGGATTAAATGTCTTTCGGTCGCGTATTTGTAAATTACTTCCTCAGCTATTTTACCAATATTTTATTACTTGTATGGTTATGTTTATTAACCTCATTCTAACTCCCATAAACCAGATTTACCGCGCACAGTCCAGTCAGCCTAAATGCCGTGTATTCCAGTTGAGTATTATTTTGATATTAATGCTTCATTTTGAAACAACGGAGGGCAAACTAGTATACGCATCTCCAGACGCTCAACGTATAATATAAAACGGACACACTATTCTCTCCACAGTTGTACCATGTTCCATACTGAATTAGATGTTATCACTTTGACGTAGTATTTTTTCGTTACGTGATTGAGCCAGTAAGAAAGAAAAGACCATTCCAAGTGTATGTATCTTTATCTGTTTTCGGATTAGGGAAATCGGCACTGTACAGTACATGATCCTCTCCGGTGATAATGCATATTATGTGAAAGCATTTACGTGCAGAGAAATAACAACCCAGGCATGGTGTGACCCACATCTGCGTATCAATCAGCCTATCACATCCGTGGTAAGCAATGTAATTCAGCGTGTTTCCATTAAATGTAAACTGAAAATATGACTAGATGATTACCCAGGAGACATCATTATGGCTGAATGAGAAATTTAACCTTAACATAGTAGACGACCACGCCAACCTCGGAATTGCATAGCGCTTATGCGGTAATCCACGCACACACTTTGCAGTGAGTGTATGCAGGTATATGCTGTCCATGTACATTTGCTAATTTAAATATTTAATAACAATAATATTATCTTGATTGCAGTATTTAACTGTTTAAAATATGTTACCAATATCGCTGTGTATCGCAAGGCACGACAAATCGCAATTATCATATGCGCAAATACGATTTGCTATTGTGCTTCCATTGTTTTTCGCAGCGGTAATAATCAGTGATCATCATCATCGTGACGCAAAACGATTTTAACCATGATGTTATTTTGTGATCCGCTTTTATAAACAATACCAACGGCACACTGAGCGGAAATTTTGTAAAGAAACTCACGATCATTATTAATCTAAATTAACGAAATCACTTTAGAATTCATGTTTGTTTTCCCTAATTTGAAATAAACAAAAAAAAAAGTTACTTATAAGTACCTTTACTTTGAAACGTGTTACGGATTGTTTTCGGTCGATTTCATTTTTTATTGTGTATATTTAAAAAATGTTTATTTTCAAAATTAATCGCAAATTACCACACATATTCAAATTTACATACTAAATGGCAGAAAAAATTAACATTGGCGTAAAGTTACCCAAACTTCGAGGTCAAATTTCTCGGCAATAAAAAAAAAGAAACAGAAAAACCAAACAGTAACTTTTGGCCCACACTCAAGGTGAGTAGAATGAAATATGTTTTTACTCCAAGATTTGTAGGAGGAGATACATACGGTTTTTTGCTGGTGCCGTGACATCGGTAGGTCAGGAAGTTTGTTGGATTTTAACACCTAACTATGATGACCAGCCTGCCAAGTTTGAACGAAATCGGTCCAGCCAAAACACATCACAGAAGAGTTAATCACGAAGACGATACACGCGGACAGACGCACACACACAGTCATAGCGGAGCGGTTCGCTAATAAATTTCTCGCGCTTTGCCATGCACTGGGAAATCGTACCTTTTTTCTCACTAGTACCACACAGCATCTCTAGTACTATCCGCGATTTAGTCCTCATAGTGGAATTCAATACGACTACGGTTTCATGGCATTTACGATAATTTGAAAACAATATTAGCACCGTTTTTTCGCAATTACCAAAAACAACACCCCTGGTACTATCCGCAAATTAGCGAATTCATCATAATGGGTGGCCCGAGGAAATATAAGTCTAAATAAATTCAATTTGCAGTATGTTTTCCCTTCACAGAAATATGTTAATGGATTAGACGCATTAAGGAGATGTCATAGTCACGGGTTGGCGAAACTAATAAAAAAAAAAAAACAAGCAATTAAAAAATACTTAATTGAATAATTTGGTTATATCACGTTTGAAATAAAAATACATTTATACTGATTCTATTGCTGAATTCATTACGATGACTGACCGACGATTCGCCGTAAGTGCGTAATGTTAAAAAAATGGATAATCCTAACGATCAAATCGTAATTTTCTTGCGCCCATACGGTATAGTGTATAATGACGGGTAGGGCATTTAGTATTGTTGACGCGGCATGCAATATATAATCAACCATATGTCTCGTACAATTTCCGCTCTTGGTCAACAATACTGCATATTTAAATAATTATCAGTTGGTATACCCGTGCCTTGCATTATCCAGACTCGACACGGTATAAAAACCCCGGTAAGCTAGCCAATCACTCACTGTGCTTACCTCTTCCGGCCCTGCGTGTCTATATTTGGACAACCGTATTACATAGTTGTATCAAAGCGCGCACTTCCGTGCAGGTTTTTGCTGGTTACCGGTACCTGGCGTTGTTACAGTAGAGATTTGTGTATAGTGTTGGCAGTGAAAAATATAGGTCCACATATTTTTCAATTTGCTGTCTGTTCACAGAAATACGTTTATGCGCTAGACGCATTAATAAGGTGATTGCAGGGCCACAGGTTAGCGAAATTAATTAACAAAACACTCGAGCGACATAAATAACATATTTAATTGATATTTAAAACGAACCCAAATGCGGCCTTAATTTAAAGTTGTGTATATTCTAAACTGTATTCGAAATAATATTGCAGTGGTTAATTTTTTTTTTAATTATAACTGTAGCTTGGATAGGCATTTGAAGTGCTTGCAATTAAACACCATGGAGGCCATTCATTAAGGGGAATAAATAACGAACGAAAAACCTGGTTATTGGGCATGGCCTAACATGAAAGGCCTAGGGTTTGAACGATGAGACATGTTGGCGACCGACAAAGGTGTTTAAATTCTTCCTCCACACTCAGTTTACCCAGGGTTACCATTAACCGTCGTTTATATTTTGGAAATTGCGAATCGCCAGTTTTTAGGGAAAAAAATCGTCGTTTTTTCGTTGCAACTAGTGCTACAGATCGCATTAACATTGCGATAATTCACTTCCGCATTGCGTTAAAAATCATCGTCAATAATCGGAACATTTCATCATTACGACGCATCATTTTGATTGGTTAATGAAAGACATGACCTGTTATGTCAAAGAAGTTGTTCCAGGTCAAATCGTGCTGAAAAACCTCATGGTGGAAAATTGCTTTGCGTTGAGAGTTTGCGTACGATCGAAAACATATCAAAACGAAGATAATGATAAATGCCTTCGTCCACTGTTTCCTCACAGACCCTACCCATTATTTCACCGTAAATTCAGACGGTATGTAAATCGTATTGTAATAAAATGTGTGTGTTTTATGAACATGTTTGTTTCTTCATTGTAAGTGTCGTTCAAATCAATGACGCATTTTTTTTTCAAAAATAAGTATTATTTTCCCGAGCCCGGCGTGGTAAACGAATAATTTTTTGGATAATTTTTCGTTGTTTGCAAGATGGTTACAGTGTTTAACCCCAAAACAAAATCATTTTTTCTGAGTTGGTCCTCGAGTACAAGTTCATCCCTTACTTTTCCCTTACGTGTTCATGCCTCCGGGCTTATGATCAGGGAAGTACGGTATACTGTGAAGATTCAGATCAGTCTAGTGTGAGTGATGAGAGTATATCATCGACGATGCCCCTTGTTCGGATGATAGTTTTATTTCAAATTACACGGAAGTCTGTGGACAATCTGCTTGGTGTTCCTGTGACACTTGTCCCATGATTTGCCAGTGCAGCCCCGTGAATCCATGGACGAAAATGTTTTTACCACCACCCTACGAACTCAAGATTGCATACTCCAGCATCCATACTTTGAATAATTTGCACGCCGCACAGTGCAGTACTGGAAACAGCATTTATTAGACAGTTAGAAAACAAAAATGCCTGTCTCGATCAATCGCACATCCATAATGTTTGTATGTTGATACGCTTGTAAATAACATTAACGTAAAAGTCAAAACAACCTAGACTAGAAGTCAATTCACCAGTGCAGCCAACTATGGCTGCCTAAGTTGCTTATATTTAATCAGATACTATTTCGTCATCATGCTTTGTTAGCTTACCTGTTTATACCTCATGAGGGCGTTTTTTTATGGCAAGATGGCGCAAGCGGAAGTCCTTTGCAGGTTTATGGTTTTTCATATTTAAATCATCATAACTCTGAAGATAATCATTTTTTGTATTTATTTTTTTCAAATGTATAATCAATATACATAACTTGATAAATTTAAACACCAAAATAGGCTCTATTTAGTTTCCCTTTAATGTGACGTATATTTGCCAGATAGTTCATCAACTAAGAAAAACACGACACAATATGGTGGGTGCTGTCGATGTATGTGTCATTTAAAGCGCTTTTCAATTGGCGCATCTAAATACCAAACAGTGCTATTTTTATTCAAAAAATATGTCATACATGTTTGATGATATTGTATGATACAATTTTGAAATGTTCTCAAAAAGGTCATTTTTATCGTCAACCGGCACTGTGTGACCGTGTCAGTAATAAATATGACCATCAAAAGAAATGTACGTGTTTATTGACATCGAGCTTTTGTACCCTTTCCAGTAATAATCCTGTGCGGAACACCGGATCATGTGCGAGGAATGATGTTGCACGCATACGATCTTGGCCTCATCAACGGGGAGTACCTATTCTTCGACATGCAGCCGAACCAGGACGAAAATGTTGAAAATTTTCCATGGAAACGAAACGATGACCGAGATGACGATGCTCGCGTGGCATATCAGGCCCTGATGACCGTGACTATTAAAAGGCCGACGAGCGAGCAATTTGTCCAATTTTCGGAAGAGGTACGACTGCGGGCTCTGAGGGACTACAACTACAACTACACCGATGAAACCGTAAGTATAAATCGACGGTGACAGTCGTCGGCGATAGTATGCGTGTCACATACTTGCGCTGGACACGGGTGTGCTTCATGTATATTTCATATAGATATATTGGAGCAAGGCTGTAAATGGTATTGTTACTGTTAGATCAAATCACTGCGTGTTATTACATAACGTTAAAATGTGACGGCTAGAGTTGTTGCATTTATCTTGTAGGTATTTGATTCGTATACTTACGACACAATATCCGGTCGGCAAGAGAAAGTGGTTGTCTTTGAGAAATATGTTATGAGAATAGGTAATGAAACACCTAGTCTGGAATACAACATAAATAAATAATTGCCCAAAATAAGAAAAAAAAATCGTCCAAGTATGAAAGCACTCAACGCCGGAGATTGTCGTCGTTGTGATGATACGTATACGCGCACGGGATACAAGGAGTGAAGTGATCAAAACTGAGTAGTTATCTGAATTCACGTTTTTTGTGTTATTGACAATAATAGTACTATAACGTTCATATGATCAAACACCGTAATGGAGCGCAGGTGATAATAATTTATAACAACTCCTTGATGTAGATTTCGAAACTCTGATTGTCGTTGAACGTTTCGCACATCATCACTTTATACGTGAAGTGCACTTTCCCTTACGCAATCCCATCAGTAGAACATTCACAAGAACAAGGAAATCGATTCAGCCAATAAAGAAAGAACGAGTGTTCCGTTTCCTTGATCAATAATATGCATTAAAGCTCTCATCCAGCAGGGTATGACTGAGACACATGTACTGTATTTTTCAACAGCAATTTATTAGGTGTTCGCATAACAAATGTAACCAGCAATGCCGAGTTCGAATTTGCAGAGTAATTTAATTAGGTAAAAGGAGATTGTTCACCACCTCCTTCCTCACCACGAAGTCGGGAATATTGATCGTGGTAGATCAGTGAAATGATTTAATTGAACATCGTTCCTCGCACGTAAACATAGTAAAAATACCATTTATTAAATGGTAATATCAATATAATGCATTGTGGAATTAGAGTTACTTTAGTAAAACACTTGGACGTGGCATCTTGGCTTGACCAAGATTTCGGGGGTATCACTTTCGCCAAGCAAATATTCATAAACTTGTCCTTGTACGTTCCTATCGCGAAGGTAATTGTCGATCTGTTTTTTTTATACGTATGGTATTAATATACCAATTTGCCACAAGAATACACAAAATTCCTAATGTAGATTTATTAGTTGTACAAATACCACAGGGAACCATACTCAATCTAAGTCTGATTACACTGTGCAATATAATGGTAATTTGCAAAATACACATGTAAATTGAATACATAACTTGAATATCGAGTTTCAGGCACGTCAAGTTCTTCGTAATTGAAACAATCTGTAATATTATATTGCCTTTACATTGACACCCATGGCTTGGCAATAATACACTCACACGAGTAATGTAGATTGACTATTGGAAAATATCGCAAAAAAATATATATAACTGAACACAGTAATTGTTACCGATTATATTATAGGGCGGAATGTATAGGAAGGTGGCCAGCAGTGCGCAATTTGAAACACGACGCCAATTTTAATATCGCAATTAATAAATAGCGAAAGAAGTTATTCAAAACCTGCCTCGACATTAACCCTACTTTCTAGCCAATGGTGTCTGAGATTCCTAGTTGAAATTTGCCAGTAGCAGAATCATAAAATTATTTAATGAATAACTACTACACTTTCCGTGTTAGCCAAATGCAATAAGTAATTGCTAAAAGATAAAAACAACGTTACAATTACAATTACGATTTGGGCGTAATCGCTAATAATTATAGCTATTTTAGTGACTTATATTTCATTATTTCCACTTTTGAATCTCTTTCCGAACCATTATGTAAATGTGCTACAAACTCCCTTTATCTTAATATCTATAATATGATTCGACGTAAATTATAGCTCTGACGGATGCAATATTGGTGAATAAATCAGTATTTTTTTTATCAAGTCTTTGTGATTCCCCTGTGTAACGCTGATACACCTATGGGTTTGTACAATATGGCATTAGTGTGGCTTACTGAAAAGTGCCTTAAGGTAACTGCTCAGATTATTTGTTAGTTCATAGCCTGTGACGAATAATAACAATATTATCAACCATATGTCTTTTGTGCCCTGTGCCTATTGTGATGTGTAAACAATCAAGGAATATTAATATTTATTATAATACACATTTTGAAGTTTTTAATCTAAAGTCTGCAAACAGACCGGCTAATACTTGTTTCGCATTTTAAAATGCTCGTGGATCATTAAAATTAAACATAATACTACTTGTTCGAGAAAGCTTAAAAGTATATTGTATGTGATTGTAATACTAAAAAACAGTAATTAATTTTTGGGGCTAATCGCTAACTTGCGTTAATGCACGCATTGTTGTCACACAGCTTTCACGCTACAATCGATTATAAGCCTTGAAAGACTTGGCAACGTTTACGTTTTTTTGTTTCTGTTGAGATGCACTATATCTATCTGTGGTAGGGTGACCCTGTCTGACTTGAACTTACATGAATGTTATGTTCGCACTACCGGGGTGTTTTTTTGTTTTTTTTCGCGCGTTGAGGGGTATTTGCCATCCTGGCTGAATTAGCTAATGGGATATGTTAAAAATACGTTCAGTTTGATTGAAATATTATGGGCATGAATCGAATTTTATCGTGTACAGTGCCCGCTTTCCTTTCTAAGTTGTTAAAGTATGGCGATGAAACGACTCGTTTGTCAATCTAATTGAGTGACGTTATGTTATTTTGAGTTTGTATCACGTACTAAATTAAATCACGAAACACCATCAGTTGTAATCAATCTGTTGCATCGGAAATTCTTGAATCAATGTTTGTTTGCTCACTCGTTATGGATTCTGATTGTGTTTAAGACAATTTATAGTAGGTAACAATTCCAGCCTTGGTTGGATTAGCAATTAGATTATCAACTACATTACTGTAGCGATGTATCCGAAATAGTATGTCATCCCCTTCTGGGTGTGGAATAGTCCAGATGACACTAGTAATGCGAGAGTAAACCAGGGCAGCATGTCTAATACATCGCACGTAACTACC